AAGCTGACCCTAGAAGCATGTCTCCAGCCTCAGTGTATATCAGAATAGCACATTCTCCTGGAAAGGGTGACACTCGGCCACATGCTTCCTGCCAGACCTTGCCAGACTTCCATGCTAACCTTCTCCTATTTATGGCTCCTAGTCTGACACCTGCCCATACCATCAAGTACTGTTTAATAGAGCTTCTGCATGATGTTGACTCTTGTTCTTCTCATTTGTATGACCAAATGCAGCGGGGGTCCTGACTAAAGTTTCAAATGCCACAAGCTCGAAGTCAGATAGATACTGTAGTTACTCATGGTTGTTGGTTCAGATGGACTAGCTTGGAGTCAGACAGGAGATATGTTGGCCCTAAAGAAACACACAGACAAATTACTAATAATTTTTTTGTTTGCCCTGCAGGTTGTTTTTGTAGCCATTTTGCTTCACAGTCACTTGGAGTGCAGGGAGCCTCTTCTGATCCCAATCTTGTCCTTATACATGGGAGCCCTTGTCCGATGTACCACATTATGTCTCGGATACTACAGGAACATACATGACGTCATTCCTGACAGAAGTGGGCCTGAAATGGGGGTACGTCTTAATACTTCGCGATTTTTCAAATTCAATAATTTTAAACTTGCTTTTTGTGTTATAATACTGTACTAAACCATTGCGCACGAAGGGCCTCCTCTCTCTGTCCTGTAAGAAAAAACATTTTCACTTAAAGAGACATGGTATAAACTATTCCAGCAACAGTGCACATGAGGCAATGCTTCCCATGGTATGGATGTGCTGTCTACTGAGCACCTCTGTACTGAGCTCTGTACTGAGCTGTAAGACAGCACAGCATGAACTAAGTGGACACCTTATTTCACAGGGAAGAAGGTCTCAAAATTCCTCTTTTTCCTCAAATGTCATATTGGTTTTCACATATCTTTGTCTGGTAGCCAGAACAAATTATGCAGATAGATACCTTATGCATTATTTATTGAGATCCATGACACAGCTTCTTTTGAATCAGTATTACTAACATGAGTGAAAATATTTTAGGCTCCTCGTACTGAAAACTGTGGAAATGAATGTACCAAACTGACAATGGGTGGGAAAAGCAAAAAACCTTTCTCTGTGCTTTTGGTTCAGTTCTCCATGTTTTTTTCCAAACCCACTTGTTTTTTTTTATTTTTTCCTATGTGTTGCAGGGAGAGGCTACAATAAGGAAGATGCTGAGTTTCTGGTGGCCTTTGGCGTTAATTTTGGCAACTCAGCGAATAAGCAGGCCCATTGTCAATCTTTTTGTTTCCCGGGACCTAGGTGGCAGTTCTGCAGCCACAGAGGTAAGAAAGTCAGTGCTCTCTATTACTGCAAAGGATCATTTACGTGGAGTTACCTCTGTGTTTCTCTTCTCAGCCATGCTGACAAGAAAAACTTGCCTTAAGTACATTTCTGTTTAGTGCTCTCTTTATCCTTGAAAAGAAGACTGCTTGGACTCTTACCAGGAGCATTTCTGCCAGGCCTACTGGGACCTCACCCTCAACAAGACCAGTAGAATTTTTTCACTGAACAGTTCCTGCGTCGGAGGTTTTCATGCTCTACATATAGGTACATGTGCTCTGGAGCATTCAGTTCCCAGAGATTTTAGGACAGTCATTGGTAGTCCCATGTTCCGCTGTTTCCTGTCATGTATATTTATGGCTGTGCAAACTGATGTGAAACTACTGTTAGCAGTCAGTGCATCACACAGAATAGGGCAGAGATGTAAGGAAGCACATAAAAAAAAATCTGTCTCCTGGTTGGGATATGAAATGCACACTGTCTCTCTTGAGGAATTTCAGATTACTCCAGTAGTGTCCTACAGCTGATGGGAGCCGGACTTCTGATTGTAATGCAGAGCCTTCTCCAATGCTCTCACCTATCCTTTTAAGAACTCTGGGGGACCTTTGCTGCCAGTTTCGGTGGGAGGATGAGTGAAGTCATTAGCAAATCTCTTATGTTTTTTTCTGTGGGAAAAACAAAGCTGTAAGATAGATACTAAATGGGAAGGAAAATTCAAACAACTGATGCCTAACAAATGTTCTCTCAGCACTACTAATTTGCCATACGTGTATTTCATACTGTGTGTTTCACTCGCTCAGGAGTTGCCAGTGACTGCAAGTTCAGGAGAGAATTCAGGAAACATAACGCTTTTATATGTGTAAATCAGGGATCAGTCTATGCATTAATAGCAGCCTCAGTACAAGGGGAGCCAGAGGGGGTTAGCAGAGGTCACTTTTGCATTTCTTGGTGACTTGATTTTAGATTCATCATATTTCATGGCTAGCCAATTCCATTTTGTTGCTATTAGGATGACTCCAAATACCTGTCATAGCTGGTGGTTTGCTGGCCTTTTTACACTAACAGTAATAGTCACATTTCAACTTTCTCTGATTTCTGAAATAATTGCTTCTGAAAAGGGAGGCACTGGCAAAACAGATAACAGCAGTGTCTGGAGCATCAGTAAAGACAGCAGTTTTATAGGTCCCCTGTTCAATAGCATCAGCAATTTTCAGTGTGGGCAGGATGTCCCTGTGAAGGGCTAGGCTGTAGCATGTTCATGAGGACAGCAAGTCCACTTGCATTGGCCAACTCCCACTGCTTCTGTTTGGACTGCCAGCACAGTTCTGGTGGTTGGGGTAACTTTTTTGCTGTTGGCTTTGATGGGGGACTTTTTCACCTGTCAAATACAGGTTCGAGACATTTAGGAAAGCTTTCATGCACATATTTTGGGATCCCACTGATTGAGGAAAAATACTGGCAGAAAAATCACTGCTAAAAACTTCAATGATTTAATCCAAGTGGAATCTAGCATACAACATGTGGTACTGAAATACCATTTTCTTTAACGGTTACTGTGTCTTTGAAGTCTTTTTGGACTTCACATGAAAATAAGCAAAGTATCTTTCATATTCTTTATTTGATTTAACCTAGTTAGGTTTCATACAGATGGAAATTCTGCTGAAAATACAATAATGGGAGAGGGGGGATTGCAATTAAAAAGGGTACTGTCTTAAAATTCCAATTTGGTTTCTTTAAACCAATTATTTTTTCAAGGTACATTAAACATTAAAGCTATTATTAGCAGGGAAGAATCTATCCCACTCTCTTCCTCTCTGTGGATATCACTACTTCCCACCCTCTTTTTAAACAGCAAAGGGAACAAATTAGCTTACTACGTGGTCCTGTGTTTGTATAGATCTTTTAACCAAGCAAGGACAGCAATTATAATGGGAAAATGGGCTCAGATAACCAAGAAAATGTACATTGAAAGTTTAGGAGGGAAACAGAGACAGCGGTAGTTAAAAAAGGTCATTCTTAACACTACCATTGCCAGATGTCAAATGAATCTGAATTTAGGCAGATTGTAACAGATCTGAACCTGCAGACAAAAGGCAGTCAAACGTTTTGATTTCTGGAATTAAGAGAGTCAGGCAGTTCTCAGTACAGCTGCACACTTCGGCTCTGAGGACTAGAAAACTTGGGGTGACAGTAGATTTCCAAGCAGTTGCAGGAAGAGCTCCCTAAATACCCTTCCTACATGAAAGACGTGAAGTACATGTATTTGGACTTCTTCAGAAATCAGAAACATCAGCAAAATCTTTCATACATTATTATGTGTGTGTGGGGGGGTATGTCTTTGATGTACCTCTTGAACTGTACTTGTGAAAGTGCAAAAGGGCCTAGTTTTAAACTGCAGGCAGTGAGTTGTTTCTCATGATAAAAATGGTCATCCGGAATTATTTTTGTCTGTTTTTTGTTGATGAGCACAAAAGTGGGGAGAGGGGGGTTTTTCATCTCATAAGTACCTCCTGCCCCAGAGCAGTCGGCTTGATGTCCAAAGTCAGTCAGCCACTGAGGCCTACTGTTTTGTAGTCTGTCTGTCTGTCTTAAAACTGCTTTACTTACAAATAACCAAGTAAAATGTATATAAATTAAAATTATGAAATAGGATACAAAGCTACCATGAGCTGTAAGGCATTCTGCTACTCAAGTACCTGTAGGTAAAATAACTCAGAAGCAACATGGGCAGGAGGTATTTGGCTGGCTGAGGGGCACACACCAGCTCAAGTTGACTATTATCCCAAAGTATCAGTGATGGTGAAACGACACAGCTGAGTAACGTAGCTTCATGGCACGAAAGATTTTGTAAGCTTGAAATGCTGGGCCAAATGCCGGCCACTCTGCCGGTCTTCCTGAAACAAAGATCTTCCAGTCGCCTGCCTGGTTTCTCACTGTGTCAAGGTCAATGTGGTGATATTGGTGGGAAATGGCACCCTATGTTATTTCAACTGTTTTGTTCAAAGATTTGAAGTTCATGTTTCCCTGTCTCTTTCCACAGGCGGTGGCGATTCTGACAGCTACGTATCCTGTGGGACACATGCCGTATGGCTGGCTGACAGAGATCAGAGCAGTATACCCTGCTTTTGACAAGGTGAGTGCCCATGTCAGGGTTGTAATAAATACCTTTCATGTGGTTTCACATGCGTGGTTTTCCTCTTTCTCTCTTTTACAACATTTTAATTTAGGGGTGGCTTCAGTGATGTCAGAGGAATTTCTGCCAAACAAATTGAATATAGTTCATGGCTCCATAATCAAGTGTAACAGGTTATTTAAAAAATAAACTAACCAAAGATTAAATAGGGCTGTATTAATGACCATCTACTGTCTTGCTTCTCTTTACTTTTTCTTTTGATGCCTATTGTTCCTTGTCCCATTGATAAGGTTTTCTTAAAACCCTAGTTAAAATTAATTTGTTTTCGGTGGCTTCAAGCTGTTGTCTGATTTATGATTTTAACCTTAGCTTTGTGTTACAGGGTATTAAGCTACCTTTTTAATAGATAGGTGCTGTATGTTTAAGGATTAAAAATAGTCCTCACTTATTCACTGTGATGTAGCTACTTAGCTAATGAAGTGGTTTCTCACAAAGCATCGCATCAGTGAGTGAGCAAGCTCACGTCTCTGCTCCAGATTCTGCGGTATCTCTCAAATGGGTTTGGGTTCATTTGCTTATGTTAATATTTAGCAAAGATTGTTTCATAGACTGATAGTAACTCAGATAACATACATTATTTTAGTAGTACTGACTTAGCTGACCAAGACTATGAAGATTTTTGTTGGCAAATCATGTAATTACATAAGAATGCAAGGATTGCTCCTGGAACTGAGCACAGAGTAAATATATAACCAAAATTAATTTTGTTTAGAGTCTTTTTTTGCTCTGTTTTAGAACTGGTACTCACTAGCCCATATGTTGTGCGAAGAACAGTCATGCCCTGTGACACCCTAATTCACATGCCAGATCCTCTCCTTCCCTTTATTTACCAATTAGTAACTGAACTTTCTGGTTCCAAATACTGATGAAAAAAAATGTTTGCTTGCTCAGGGAGGTACTTAACTGAAGCAAGTCGTGTTTGATATGATCCACCATATTTCCAAGGAGAATTTATAAACAAAACAAAGAAAAGTCAAATCAGTCATAACTTCTTAACCTGCCCGTGTACAGCTAAATTGACCTGTCAGATAAAATACAACATGCAGGCTTTCTCAGAAGTCATGCTGCTGAAAAGGAACTGCAGATGCAAACCAAATAAACTGCAAGAAAAAAATTATTTGGGACAGGAAACACAGGGGCTGCTAACCTCATCTGTTACGAGCCACAATCAAATGCACTATTGCCAAGCAAAATTAACAGCAATTAAGACTCCTAAATTCAGGTCTCATTTAGCTGGCAGAAGATGTGCTGACAACTGTGGTGGTGACAGGATTAGGCCATGATTTGTCTGTTTGTTTCAGTTAAAAGGCTTCTCATAGAGCTCTTGTGGAACAAATGTGAGGAAGAAAAAGCTAGGGTAAGGCACAGATAGGTAGTTTAACTGACGAAAAAGTATGTAACGGGGATTTTAGTTGCATGTTTTAAGAGCAATTTGGCATAAAATGTGCTAAATGAGGTAGCAGCAGTATAAAGTGTATCTCATCCTGGCAATAATGTCTGCAAATGCCTCCACCGTACCTTTCAGACAATAAATACCAAACCAGAAACTCACAGTGGGTTTTTTTTAGATTGTTGTGAGAATTGCTTTACCCTTGGTCACATGTCATTTGCATGTCACCGTGCTTTTCAAAAGCTTTGTTCCTTCAAGCTAAGGCTTTCTCAGAAGAGTCCAAATAGAAGCACTTTTTATTTCCGGACTGTGTAAAGCCTCCATTTTATTTTCAGATGCTGAAACAGTTTGCATGCATGAAAACTCCCGGGTTTTTGGGGTTTTTTTTTGTTGGTTACTCAGAAAGCTGGCAATGCTGATGGCCATCAGAAGCACACAGCATTGCCTTAACCAACTGATGGGATTTGGGATCCGGATAGTATGCCCCTCTTTAGTGGCTCTACTGGAGAAGTCAGATTCTTGTCTTCACAGGGAAATTGTTAAATCTTTTCATGTTTGTAAGAGAGATGCAGGGTCCTGCTTCAGTCTTTTATGAGACTCTATGTCCAGAGCAACCTCATGGCCTAGCAGTTACACTCAGGTTAAGGGTTACCACTGATTTTCTGAAAGAAAACAGGCATATCCTACTTCTGTGGTCTGTTTGCTGTTTTATACGGTGACAATGCCATTACTCTTAATGGACTGTGCCATCTGATTCAGAGCAACAACACCGACTGTCAGAGGACTTGTGAACGCTATTTATCTGATTAATAGATGGGAATGGATACTCTTTTTGCTCCATAATCTGCATAGCGTTTTGATCCAAGAACTAAATAATGTGCAAGAGATGGGAATAAAGAGTATGTGGCCAAGAGTTAGAGCAAGGGCAGAGGTAGCAGCAGCAAGGTAGGAACGAGCGAGAGCCCTTTTTCTTCACAGCCCCTTTGGATGGCTGGATTTGGGTGTGCTTTCCTTCCTCTCTGTTATTTTAGCCTTAGTTGGAAAGTTGAGCCAGGCAGCAGAGTTCGTTTAAACACTGGTGAGCGATGTGAGCGAGGCCTATCCTCACATACATAAAAACTAACAGTAACAAAATATTTCTTAAGAAACACAAGAAATAAGAATACATGCCTGAAAAAAATGTTTACAGAGAGTTTTCATAACCTGTTCCCAAAAAGGGCAGACGTGGGAGTAGCTTCCTGCTTTAGAGTATGGTTTGCCTACATGCATCTTCACGCACCCAAACTTCCGAGCAGATATTTAGGCAGGAGTGTGGGGCTGTCCAGGTGCCATCGCTGCACTGATCACCACAAAAGCTTTAAATTGTAAAACTGCATCAACTACTCGAATGTGTGTGAGATGATGTATGTACCCTTCACAGAGCTCACATTCAGTTTGTCCTCTCCCAAGATGTGTTTACTTAAGTTCCCATTTCTCTTATGAGTAACTTCAGTAAAGGAGACTGACCATGTGAGGTACTGCTGTTCCACCTGAGTTACATCAAGGATGAACAAATGTTGTACTACATCTCACGGTACAGGTTTTATCAGCGTGGGCACATACTTATGTATCCCAAACAGCCTCAGGGTAAATGCAATAGATGACCCAACAGCCTATTGCTACAGGGCTCCTAATGGTGCCCTGCTTTTGATATCCCATCCTCTTCTTTCATAGACCATTTAGTTTGTTTTGATGTGTTCCCTGAGGGCAATTTTAAATCTTCAGCTTCATTTGCTATATTAGACATTTGAAAGAGGGCTTTTGTTGTTGTTTTAAATAAAACTTCACTGCCATGTGAGTACAGAGCCCATGTTCAAGGTGGAACATCTAATAGTCCTAATTATGTTCTGTTCATTAAACTGCATTAATGAACCCAGCTGTTCAGAAGCTTTGTTTGTGTTACCTACTTGTCTAATTGGATCAGTAAGGGTGCTTGCATTGGCGTATGGATTCGGTACCACTCTGTGGTAAAAAGGAATGGAATCCTATTTTTCCTGTGAAAACATGATAGAAACTTTAAACTAAGGTAGAAACATTACGTGGAGTTTCCTTAGAAAGAGCTACCACCCTTTTTCAAAGCTGAATTTGTTAAATAGGACTTACTCCTTAGAAAAGTAGGGAGATTACTCAGCCTTCAGTGACCATAGGAGCAGTTGCTGTCAGTTTAAGCGGAAAATATTCTGTGGTGGTACAAAGTACTCAGAAAGCTCTAGGTTAAAAAGCAAACAAGCAAAGACAGACATGCATGCACACAGACAGCCAGGTCCAACACATGACCCTGGTGCCGTCAGCCTCCCACTAGTCTGGAGCCAAGCTAATGCTCGTTATCTCTTTCTCTCACCCTAGAATAACCCCAGCAATAAATTGGTGAACACCAACAGCACCGTCACAGCAACACATATCAAGAAGTTCACTTTTGTTTGCATGGCATTGTCCTTAACGGTAAGAAACCTTTGTTCAACTTTCTGGCTTTCATCTCAACCAGAAAATTATCTCCTCTACCTAATGCTAAAAGCACTAGTAGTTCAAGAAAGGTGAGTTGTCTTTTCTTATGAAGCTCTGTTGCTTTTATCTGGAGGAGAGACTGTGATCATAGTACTGGAGTACTAAGAAAATCAGCTATCATTAACTCAGGCTAGATACCTTATGGGCTAGAGTTATTTTATTTAATTCTTCTCGCTACTTTTCATTTAAAATCAGCCTCCACATGCAAAGAGGTATCAGAGATCTGCTTTTCTTTTTTCTCGTTTTTTTTAATGAACAAAACTTCTGGTAACCAGCATGTCAAGAAAATGAAGAACCACATTTGTCTCATGTGCGGTGGGATGGCAGCTTGTCCCCGGGCATCATTTACTGTGAACGGTGGGAATGGCAGCATGCGTCGAAATTGCAGTAGCTGTTCCCCGCCACCTCACGTGGCACTGGTCTTCCATGCTTGGGGTACTTTTCATGCACGTTGGTTTTGTTTCCTCTCAAAATGAACTGAAAACGGCAATCTCGGAGACAGTGCTGACACTGACAAAAGGATCTAAAGCCTTGTCTGTGCTGGGAAGCATTGCAAGGGGCTGACATTCAGGGAGAAATTTTGCTGAGCCTGCTGCATTTCAAAACAACCAGCTTGCACACATACATACAGTGCATCTTCCCCAAGAAAACTGTTTGTGCACAAGTCTTTTTAGCAACCAACAGGCAGCTGTGGAATAAAACTCACACAGGTGGTGGGGATCATAGCAAATAATGGAGCAGATTACCAGAGTAAATGCAACTTCTGTTTCTACATAGGATGGATTTATGTTAGTGCTTGGAGCTGGTCAAGCCACCCACTTGGGGTGGACTTGCACTAGCAACCATGCCTCTGTCCATGACAGCCATTAGCAGATTTGTGATCCATGCACGGTGTCCTAAGGAGTCCTGGGCCGGCTCCTGTCAGGGCACTGCCAGGCACCAGGACCACCAGGATCAGTCATGGCAGGGCACAACATGGCAGCCCCAGCCAGGAGCAGGGCAG